CTAAGGAAGGAGGGGCAGCAGATGCCACAGTAGCAGCAGCAGCAGCAGCAGACAAGGAGACAGTGCTGCTGCCGCGCATAAGGCCGCTGCCTTTCTTGCCTACTGCAGCAGATATCCTATGGGGGATAGGACCAGCAGCAGCAACAGCAGCAGCTGCAGCAGCAACAGCAGCAGCACCAGAAGAGGAGACAGTTGCCAATGCAGCAGTGCAGCAGCTCTGTCTACGCATGCGTGCCTGGCTGCGGCAGCAGCTGCTGCTGCCGCTGCAGCAGCAGCTCGCTGCATACCTTCCCTCTCCCTCTCAGCTGCAACACCCAGCAGCAGCAGCAGGTGCAGCAGCAGCAGCAGCAGCAGGAAGTAGCCGCGGGAAAAGGAGACACTATGATGTTGATAGCCAAGGAGAAAGCTCTTTGTCTCCTACTGCAGCAGCAGCAGCAGCAGCAGAGGAAGCAGAAGATGCTGCTGCAGCAGGACATACACCTGACGCAGCAGCAGACGTTGATGCAGATGACGATACAATGCATGCAGACACAAGTGCAGCAGCAGCAGCTGCAGCAGCAGATGAAGAAGAGGAAGCAGCAGCAGCAGCAACTGCAGCAAATGATCTTTATGATGCTGCAGCAGAAGACGAAGAAGCAGCAGCTGAAGCAGTAGCAGAAGCAGCAACAGAAGCAGAAGCAGCAGCAGCAGCAGAAGCAGAAGCAGCAGCAGACGCAGCAGCGGCAGCAGCAGCTTCTGGAGACTCAGCAGCAGGTGTAGATTCGGCCACAGAAACACTTATGGACAACAACAGCAGCAGCAGCAGCAGCAGCAACGGCAGCAGCAGTAGCAGCAGCAGCAGCAGCACGGAGCAGAAGGTGCAGCCGCTGCCTAGTGTGCTGCATGTCCCTCTTCCCTCTCCTGCAGCACTTGCTGAGTTGTTGCTGCTGGTGTCTCGTTTGCTGCAGCAGATGCCATCTGCTGCTGCTGCGCCTCCTGAGGGGCTGCTGCCTGCTGCTGCTTGGAGGCTGTTGGTTGCTGCTGCAGCTGCTGCAGTTAGCGACATGCATGCACAACTACGCCGCCAGCCTGCATGCGCTGCAGCAGCAGCAGCAGCAGCTAGCAGCGCCATAGAGTGTCTCCTTTTGGAGGGGCTAGTGCATGCGGACCAGCTCAAAGCAGCAGTAGCAGCAGCAACAGCAGCAGCAGCAGCAAAAGCAGAAGCAGCAGAGGATGCTGCAGCAGCAGCAGCTGCTGCTGCAGCAGGGACGAATTGCTGCAGCACATCCTACAAGGAATGTAAATCAGTGCAGCAGCCCTTTAGCGAGCTGCACTTTGCATGCGACCAGCAGCAGCAGCAGCAGCAGCAGGAAGACGAAGGCATAGGAGGGCCACGAGCAGCAAGCAGCAAGCAGTTGCTGCTGCTGCTGCGTGTGCTGCGTAGGTTAGCTGTGCTGCAGCAAAGTGTTGCTGCTCTGTCTGCAGCAGATGCTGTTGGTTGTGTCCTTGCTGTTGCTATTGGCAGAGACACACATAGCTGCCGCTGCAACAGCAGCAGCAACAGCAGCAGCAACAGCAGCAGCAGCAGCAGCAGCAGCAGATACCGCGGCAGCTGGAGGTACAGAGCTGAGGCACTAAAGACATTAGGGTGTCTCCTTTCGCATGCAGATCTAATGGAGATTTTCTTGTCTGCTGCAGGCAACTCCTTGCAGCAGCAGCAACAGCAGCAGAAGCACGAGCAGCAGCAGCAGCAGCAACTAGGTACGAAGGAGGAGACAGTTGGTGACGCACTTTACAATGTGGGGGATATGAGCAGCAGCAGTGTACAAAACAGCAGCAACAACAGCAAAAGTAGCAGCACCAACAGCACCAACAGCAGCAGCAGCAGCAGCAGCAACAGCAGCAGCAGCAGCAGCAGCAGTGTGTGTTTATTAGATATATTGAAGGAGACACTTGCTGCTGATCCTTATTTATCTAGATTAGCATTAAGGAGACTAATAGGGTTTATTGTTATTCGTATAGAGGCATGGAGGTCCCTTGCTGCAGCAAATAGCTGCTGCAGCAAGCTGCTGCTGCATACTCCTACAGCAGCAGCAGCAGCAGCAGCAGGTGCTGCTGCTGATGCTTCAGCAGCGGCAACAGCAGAGCAGCAAATTATAAAGATGGAGACAGATTACGAGCAGCAGCAGCAGCAGCAGCAGCAGCAAACGGAGACACAAAGCTCTGATCCTCTTGCGTCTCTTTCTTTTGCTGCTGTTAAATCTAGTCATACTGCAGCAGGAGCAGCAGGAGCAGCAGGAGCAGCAGCAGCAACGGATATGAAGGAATGGGAGCTGCTGCTGCTAGATGGAGACAATAGAGTTGCTGCAGCAGCAGATGCATTGGAGTGCTGCTTGCTGCTGCTGCAGGAAGTGTCTCTTCCTCCTCTTAGTGCTGCATCTAGGCTTGATGATGCCCTTGAGGTACGCAGCAGCAGCAGCAGCAACAGCAGCAGCAGCAGCAGCAGCAGCAGCAGATGAGTGTCCTAGAAAAGGACAATTAATTAATAATTAATTAATTGTCTCCTTTTTTATTAATTGTCTCCTTTTTTATTGTCTTTTTTTTTGTTATTTATTGTCTCTTTTTTTATTGTCTGTCTCCTTTTATTCTCTCTTTTTATTAATTGTCTCCTTTTTTATTTATTGTCTCCTTTTTTATTTATTGTCTCCTTTTTTATTTATTGTCTCCTTTTTTATTAATTGTCTCCTTTTTTATTTATTGTCTCCTTTTTTTATTAATTGTCTCCTTTTTTATTTATTGTCTCCTTTTATTGTCTCCTTTTTTTATTAATTGTCTCCTTTTTTTATTAATTGTCTCCTTTTTTTTATTAATTGTCTCCTTTTTTTTATTAATTGTCTCCTTTTTTTTATTAATTGTCTCCTTTTTTATTAATTGTCTCCTTTTTTTTATTAATTGTCTCCTTTTTTTATTAATTGTCTCTTTTTTTTATTAATTGTCTCCTTTTTTTATTAATTGTCTCCTTTTTTTATTAATTGTCTCCTTTTTTTATTAATTGTCTCCTTTTTTATTGTGTGTCTCCTTTTGCTGCAGGGAGAGGTCTCCTTTGGTGTATATAATCGTTGCTGGTGCAGCAGCAACGTGCCGCTGCTGCACAGCAGCAAACTGTCTCCTTTTTTGCTGCTATACCTAAGGAGACATAGATTTATTATATCTCTTGCTGCTGCTGCTGCAGCAGCAAGAAGGAGACTACAGGCATTACCAGGACCTGCAGCAGCAGATCTTCGTCTTCTTGCTGCTGTACGTATGCTGCTGCTAACTGTCTCCTCATGCAGCAATGGCATGCAGCTGCTGCTGCAGCAACAGGGAGATAGGCAACTGCTGCAGCAGCTACTGCTAGACCTCGATAGCTGCAGCAGTCTGCTGCTGCAGCGTCATGCGGTGCTTGAAGGTCGCCTACCTGCTGCTATTGCTGCAGCGGTGCAGCAGCAGCAGCAGCAGCAGCAGCACAACGTTGCAGTATTCGGCAGCAGCAAGAACAGCAGCAAACTCAACAGCAGCAGCAGCAGCAGAAGTTTATCTCTGTTAGCCCCTTGGCTGCAGAATATCTGCGGTGCTGCTGCTGCTGCTGCTCCTGCTGCAGTTGGAGACAGTGTTGATGAGGAGACACATTGTGCTGCAGCATACAGCAGCGGTAGCTACTGCGGCTGCTGCTGCTGCTGCAGCAGACAGATGCTGTCTTCTTGTCTATTAGGGACATCATGGGTAGGGCGCTGCGGTGTATTGACAGAGGAGGATGCTGCTGCTGCTTGCTGCCCCCTTGAAGCAGCAGCAGCAGCAGATCTACCAGCAGCAGCAGACACTCGTGCTGCTTGTCTTCTTGCATCTACAACTCTTGCTGTTCGTCTCCGTTGGAGGGCAAGAGCCTTAGCCTTCAAGGCCCTTGGCAGCAGCAGCAGCAGCAGCAAGGGAGTAGAGGTGCATGCAGAGGCACTTGCTGCTCTTGCTGCAATAGGAGACACTGCAGCAGGAGCTGCTATTGTTGCAGAGACACTTGTCTACTGCCGGCTACAAGGGTTAGTCTTGCTGCTGCCGCTGCTGCTGCTGCCGCTGCTGCTGCTGTTGCTGTTGCTGCTGCTGCTGCTTCATGTTGAAGGATTGCTGCTGGTGTTGTAGCATTTGCTGGTGCTGCTGCTGCTGCTGCAGCAGCATTGACAGATTGTCATTATGATTGCTGCTGTTGCTGTTGTTGCTGCTGCAGGCGCGTGGTGTTTTTGCTGGCGTCTCTTCTAGCTTGTGGTTCTGCTGCAGCAGCAGATGCTGCTGCTGGCTGCAGCATTGGTGGTTCAATAGAGGTGGTCAGCAGCTTGCTGCTGCTGCTGCTGCTGCTAGCAGAAGATGCAGTAGTAGGGGGCCCCTTCTTGTGGCAATGGGGGGCCCCCCTCCTCTGTTGCTTAGATGAGCTAGTGTCTCCTTTGCAGCCTGTTGTCTCTTCTTCTCTGCAAGGAGACACGGGAGGCAGCAGCACAGCAGCAGCAGCAGAACCTGCAGCAGCAGGAGCAACAACACCTGCAGCATCTGCTGCTGCAGCAGCAGCTGCTGCTGCTAATTCTGCTGCGGAGACACTTTTGGTTAAAACACCCAACTGGACAACAGCAGAACAAGAGACATCTTTTGCTGCTGTAAGAAGTATCCTGATTGCTGCTGCTGCTGCTGCTGCTGTAACTGTTGTTGCTGCTGCTGCTGTTGTTGTTGTTGTTGTAGGGCGCTGTATGCTGTTGTGCTCCTGCTGCCTGGGTGTATGTGCAGCTGCTGCAGGCTAACCATTTGATGGCACGCAGAGTGTTGCTGCTGCACAGCGCGCTGCAGCAGATATTCGCTAGCAGCAGCAAGGGCACCAATCCGCAGCAGCAGCAGCAGCGGGAGGTGGTGCTGCCGTCTGCTGCACATGTAGCTGCGCATCTTGCTGCTGCAGCAAATTATATGCCGCAGCAGCAGCTGCTGCCTCAACCAAGTGTCTCCTCTCTCCTAGCAGCAATTCGTATTAGCAGCACTCCTTGCGGATTAAAAGGAGACAGGAGACCTGCGGAGACACCTGACGGATCTGTCCCTCCACAGGATGCAGCAGCAGCAGCAGCAGCAGATGCAGATGCTGCAGCAGACAGCAGCAGCAGAGGCGCAACACTTCTATCAGGAGCAGCAGATTCCTTAGGTATACAATTACCAGAAATTGATTGGGGAGACACCTCCTCTACGAAGCAGCAAAACAGCAGCAGCAGCAGCAACAGCAGCAGCAGCAGCAGCACAAACTGCACCAAGAGCAACAGCAGCAGCAGCAGCAGCAACAGCAGCACGGAGATAGCAGATCTATCCTGTATGCCAGGGAGTTCCTTCCGTCTCCCTCCTTCATCAGAGGAGACAACTGCAGCAAAACTTGCTGCTCGTTTGCTGCTGCTGCTGGTGCGTCGTTGCCCTCAGCTGCTGCTAGCAGGGGAGTATATTGAGGATGAGGAGCAGCAGCAAGACACAACAACAGCAGCAGCAACAGCAGCAACAGCAGCAGCAGCAGCAGCAGTTGAGGATGAAGGAGAACAATCATTTGAAGATACACAAGACAGCGATGGTTTGCTGCCATGGGAGCGCCGCTTAGTTGCGCACACAGCAGCAGCAGCAGCAGCAACAGCAACAGCAACAGATTTAGACTTTTACAGCAGCAGCAGCAGCAGCAGCAGCAGCAGCAGTGTGCCAGTAATTGCTGGTGTAGGTGCCTCCGTCTGTGTGTCTCCTGAGGGTCTTAGCGCTATTCTCTCTGCCCTTTGCCGCTGCATTGCATGCATAGCTCCTCCTTTTGAGTGGTTAAGCGAAGCAGCAGCAGCTGCTGCAGCAGCAGCAGCAGCAGAAGCAGAAGGAGCATCAGGTGCAGCAGGAGTAGCAGCAACTGCAGCAGATATTGGTGGGGTGTCTCCCCAACTTGCAAAGCTGCTGTCTCTATGGGGAGAAGCACGTAATGTTAGTCTGCATGCAATGGAGACACTGCTGCAGCTGCTGTTTGCTGCTCTTGCTGCTGTTGCTGTGTCTCCTCTTGAGGATATACAAGCAGCAGCAGAATCTCTTAATAGGAGACAGGGTCTCCTTTATGTAGGGTTAAGGAGGACACAACTGCAGCAAATCTTGCTGCTTGCTGCTGCTGCTCTACTCACTGCAGGACAGTGGATCGGTAACACCAGCAGCAGCAGCAGCAACAGCAGCAGCAGCAAGTACCAGCAGCAAGAAGCGCTTCAGTGGCTACAGAGCCACGAGGGATTTAGGCAGGAGGTGACTTACACCACTTGCTGCTGCTTCTGCTGCTGCTGCTGCTGCTGCTGCTGCATCTATTGTTGCTTTTGCTGGTGTGCTGCTTGGTTTGTTGCTGCAGCTGTTGCTTCTGCTGCTGAACAGCAACATGGGTGATGTTGCTGCTGTTGTGCTGCTGTTGCTGTGCTGCAGGCTGTGCTGCAGCTGCGTAGCTGCCTGTCTTGGGTCTGCCGTGTGCAGCGGTTATTGTTCTTGCAGCTGCGGGACTCGCAAGCATTTGTGCTGCAGCAGCTGCTGCAGTGCAGCGTGCTGCTGCCACAGCTGCAGCAAGCAGGTTTGCTGCTGCTGCATGCAATGGGCAAATGGTCTCCTGGTGCTGTACTGCCTACTGTCTCCTTTTCCTTTCATATTGTTGCTGCTGCTACTCGTCCTTCTTTTTGTCCCCCTAGATCTGTCTCTAATTTATTAGCTTCTCTTGGTGCAGGAGACACTCCTGCTGCAGCAGGTGCAGCGGGAAGCAGCAACAGCAGCAGCAACAGCAGCAACAGCAGCACCACTACCTCTCCTGCTGCTGCTGCAGAGACACATGTTGTTACTCTCTCTGCTAAACTGCCGTCCCTTCTAGAGACACTAAGAGCTCCCTATACACCCCAAAATTGGGCACTGGTACGCAGCACGCTGCTGCTGCTGCTGCTGTTGCTGCTGCTACAGTTATTGCTATTGCTAGGTGCACGTGTTGCTGGTAACTGTCCAGTGTTCTAGCTTATGCAGCTGCAGTAGCAGCTGCTGCCTTCGCCATGCATTGTTGTTGCGGCTGTTGCTGTTGGTGCTGCTGCTGCTGCACTTGCTGCTGCTGCTGCTGCGGGGGGAACATCTGCTTTTGGTGTGTATTTGTTGCTGCTGTTGCAGGAAGATGAGGATTCCCTACCGGAGGAGCCAATGCCTTTATATTTGTTGTGCCGTCTGCGGCTGTCTGCTGCTGCTGCAGCAGCAGCAGCAGCAGCAGGAGGCGACGGTCTCCTCGGCCCTGCAGCAGGTCATTTGTCTATGGGCCCAACGGAGACAGTTGTAGGAGACGCAGCCGCAGATGATGCAGGAGACGATGCAGCAGCAGCAGCAGCAGATGTATTGAGTGTTTGGAGACAGGTACGCAGCGCCTTAGCAGCAAGGCTGCTGCAGCAGCTTGCAGCAGCAGAGACTGGAGCAGGAGGAGACACCTCACCTGCTGCAGTTGCCCCTGCATCAGGATCAGGAGGAGCAGCAGGAGCAGCAGGAGGAGCAGCAGGAGCAGCAGCATCAACAGCAACTGGCAGCAGCAACACGGAGAACCTGTCCCCTCTCCTAGCGTTACGTATGGTAAGTGTGCCATCCTTCCTGCTGCAGCCACCTCAACAGGAGCAACAGCAACAGCAACTACAGCAATAGCAACCGCAGCAACAGCAGCAGAAGCAGCAGCATATTATATGTGTTGTGTGTCTCTGCTGCAGCACCAACTGTCCTCTGAGGTCGTAAGACTAGAGGAGTTAGGGGAGTTGCTGTCTTGGGTAGCTCGTGCTGCTCTTTCTTTGTCTCCTCCATTAAGAGCAGCAGCAGCAGCAGCAGCAGTGTCTCTTGCTGCTGAGGGATTACCTGTTTATTCCCTTATATATGATTGTCTTGATGCACTTCTTGCTGCTGCGCTGCGCTCACTGCAGCAGCAGCCAGACACCCCACGTTCGCATGCAGATTCTGCAGCAGCAACTGGAGGGGAGCCTGCAGCAGAAACAGCAGAAACAGCCGCAGCAGACGCACCAGCAGCAACAGCAGAGGGGGCTGCTGCAGACAGTAGCATGCAGCAAAATGCTGCTGACGGAGATGCTGCTGCAGCAGCGCTAAACAGCGCTGATGCTGGAAATGCTGCAGCAGCAACTGGTTCTGCTCCTACTGCAGCAGCATCGGGTGCAGCAACAGCAGCAGCAACTGCTGCTGCTGCAGCGCAGGAGCTTCCCACGTACCCCGATCGACCAGTAAGGCCCCCCTTCCTATGCAGTAGCAGCAGCAGGAGTTGCAGCAGCAGCAGCAGCAGCAGTTGCTGCTGCAGCAGCCCTTACTGGTTTCTGATAGTTTGGGGTTTGTGCTGCAGCAGCAGCATATCATTGTCTGCATTTATGTCATTGTTGTTGCTGCTGCTGTTGCTGCTGCTGCTGCTGCTTGCAGGCTTACTCCCGGGCAGCAAGATCTCTGTTTGCTTTGCACGGCAGCCGTTTGCTGCGTTTGCTGCAGTTTGTTGAGCGTTTGCTGCAGCAGCATTTATCTGCTGCTGCTGCAGTGTATAGGCAGCTAGAGCGTGTCCTTGCCCTTCCTTGTCGTCGTCTCCTTGAGGTATCTCTTGAGCTGCTGGAGGATGAGCGTCTTGCTGCTCTTGCTGCTGGTCCTCCTGCTGCTGATGCTGCAGCAGCAATAGACGGAGCAGCTGCAGCAGAGGATGCACAGCAGCAGCAGCAAATCGCTAAACAGCTGCTGCTGGTGGCTCTCCGTCTAGCAACACAAATAGCACAAGGATACCAATCCTTAGCTGATGCTGCAGTGCAGCAGCGGGAAGCTAGCAGCAGCAGCAGCAGCAATGAGGGTAGTGGGGCTCCTAGCAGCTCCTTTGGCGGGCAAGATAGCAGCGGCCACAGCAGCAGCAGCAGCAGCAGCAGCAGCAAGATGAAGAAAGGACTTGGCTTCCCTCGTTATATACCTATATTAAGGAGACTATTTGCGGCTGTCTCTGCCTTAGGCAATAGAGAAGACACACCAGTAGATATTGCATTGAATTGTGTTGCTGCTGCTGCTTGCTGCTGCAGCAGCAGCAAACCCTTCCTTTGCATGCTCCTGTCTTACTCCCTACCGCAGCACTCTGTCTCTGCCCTATTTGCTGCTCTTAAGGGCAATGAGACGGAAGCTGCTGTTGCTCTTGTTGCTTCTCCTGCTGCTGTCTGCTGCTTCGCTCCCCTTGCTTCACGCTGCGCTGCAGAACTCACCTCAGCAGCACAGGTTAGCCTCCTGCTGTTGCTGCTAATCCTGTTGCTGCTGTTGCTAATGCTGCTGTTTTCCGTCTACTTGTCTTTTTGCCCCCTTGCTGTCTTGGTATTTTGTTGAGCAATTGCTGCTGCTGCAGCTGCTGCTGCTTGGACGTGTTACGAGATACTATTTGTCTCTTTGCTGCTGCTGCTGCTGCGCTGCAGAGACAGTCTCCAGCTGAGGGCATGGGCTGGCTAGCAGTGGCGCGGCAGCTGCTGCAGCTGGCTAGACACCTGGCAGCAGCAGATCCGTACCCGTTGCATGCGCTATTCGCGCTGCTGCTGCAGCAGAAAGTCCCTATACCGTGGAAGGTCAAGGAGCCGCAGCAGCAGCAGCAGCGAATGCATGCAGCTCGCCGCGCTGCAGCACCATGGCCAGAGGTAAGGCTTATTCTTTCTTTGTACAGCAACTTTTATTTGCTGCTTTTGCTGCCTTTATTGCATCATGCGCTGCTGCTGCTGCTGCTGCTGTGTTGTGTGCTGCAGGCGGAAGCAGCAGACGAAGCCGCAGAATTGTATGCTGACCTGCAGGACCCCTTGGAGAGCAACAGCAACAGCAGCAGCAGCAAAAATGCTGGTTCTCTTTTCCCATCAGAAGCAGCAGACCCAGAAGCAGCAGCAGCAGCAGCAGCAGGGGAGACAGTATGTGAGGTGGAGGAGGACCCAAGGAAGCTGCTGCTGCGTGAGCTGCGGCGGTGTCTCCTTGCATTCCTTTCACAGAGCGAGTTGCTGCTGTCAGCGCAGCAGCGGTTGCAGCAGCAACAGCCACACCAGCAGCAGCAGCAACAACAGCAGCAGATTGCTGCGCTGCAGCAGCAAACACGATTGGCCCTCCTTACCTACAGAGACACTTGCCGCTTAGAGCAGCAGCTACTCGCGATGCCCGTCGAATCAGCTCCCCTTGTACGTCCTGCTGCTGCTGTTGTTGTTGCTGCTGTTGGTCTTGCTGTTGCTGCTGTTGCTGCTTCCTCTGTTGCTGCATGGCTGTTTGCTGCCTGTTTGTCTGTTTGTTTGTGTTTAGCTGCTGCCAACCGCCGCATTTTTGCCTGAAGGTCGTTTATCTGCTGTTGCTGCAGCAGCGCAGCAGCAGCGGGTTCGTGCTGCAGCGCAGCACTTTGATGTCCCCTTCTTAGTGTGTCTACGCAGCAGCAATTATAGTGTCTCCTCTCTTGTCTCTCGTTGTCCCCACACTCCTGGGGATCGTCTCCCCTGGATCGACGATCCCGCATTGGAGACGATCCTCAAGATTGCTGCACATACCATACATGCTGTACGTATAGCTGCTGCTGCTGCTGCTGCTAGTATGCTGCTGCTTGAGCATAGCTGCTGCTGCTGCTGAGAGTCTGTTGCTGGAGTGGTCGACCTGTGCCTGTGCTTTGCTGCATTTGCTGCTGCTGTCTATTTTGCTGCTGTGTCCTTTGCTGCAGGAGACAGCAGCAGAAGGCCTAAAGTGTCTCCCCTTAGATTTTATTTGTGGGGTACCTGCGGAGACACCTGAGGAGACAATATTACCTACATGGTTGTCTGATCCTTTCTTATATCTAAAAGCAGTAAGAGACACTATCTGTCTCCTTCCTGCTGCTGTCCACTTTACTCTCCTGCTGCTGCTGCTGCAGCAGCAGCAGCAGCAGCAAATGCAACAGGAGCACTGCTACTTTTTCTTTTGTTTATTTATATCTGTTATCTCTTCTTACCGTGGTGCCTCCTAAGTGTCTCCATATACCCTTCTCTCCCTTCTTCCTGTTTTATCCCCTTTGGGTCTCTTCTTATGCTGCTGTTCCTGCTGCTGCTACTGTTGGTGCTGCAGGCGAAAGGAGACGTTCCTGCTCCTGTGGAGGCTGTGGGGCCCCTTCGTGGTGTCTCCTCTTATGGTGGTGGTGGGTGCGGCAGAGTCTCCTACTCATCAGGGGGGGGCCTCCTTGGGAGTCGGTCTGCTGCTGCCGATCCCTTCCGCAGCAGAGCGAAGGGCAGCAGCAGAGCGCCAAGTAAGCATGTTGATGCATTTGAGGCTTCTGTACCTGGAGGGCTTACTAGGCTTAATAGGGAGCAGCAGCAACAGCAGCAACAGCAGCAACAGCAACAGCAGAGTGGTGGAGAATCACAGAAATTATCGCCACAGTCGCAGCAACAGCAACAGCAACAGCAGCTGCAACAGCAACAACAGCTGCAGCAGCAGCAGCAACTGCAGCAGCAGCAACAGCAGCAGCAGCAACAACAGCAACAACAACAGCAACAACAACAGCAGCAGCAACAACAGCAACAACCCACGGTGGCAAGCGTGTTGCAGCAGCAAGACGGCCAAGCGCTGCAAACTCCACCACCACCACCACCTCCACCACCGAAGCAACAGCAGCAGCAGCAATCGCAGCAGCAATCGCAGCAGCAATCGCAGCAGCAGTCGCAGCAACAATCGCAGCAGCCATCACAGCAGCAGTCTCCTACGCCTCCACACGAGGAGACAGCTGCCCTTGGTCGCGACACCGAGCAGCAGCAGCAATCGCAGCAGCAGTCGCAGCAGCAATCACAGCAGCAGCAACAGCAGCAGCAGCAATCGCAGCAGCACACGAAGTCTCACCCTCAGGTGCTGCACCCACAGCAGCACATGCAGCAGCAGCAACAACAGCATATGCTGCAGCAGCAGCAAGCTGCCCGTTTGCTGCACCAACCCCCCGCAGGTTATGTACATGTCCCTATGCCAGCTGCTATCTTAGGGCCTCAGGGGTTGCTGCTGCATCCTGTGCCAGTAGTCCCTGCTCATCCCTTCTTGCTGCAGCCGCAGCAGCAAGCGCTGCGCATGCAGCAGCATGCTGCGCACCCTATGATGATGCCACTGCAGCCGCAGCCTGCGCAACAGCAGCTGCAGCATCAACCTATGCAGCAGCAGCAACACGAACAGATGCAGCAACAGGCAACTCCTCAACAGCAGCAGCAGCAACCGTCCGTGCAGCAGCAGCAACCTGTGCAGCAGCAGCAACCACAACAGCAGCAGCTTATGCAGCAGCAGCAGCGTATGCAGCAGCAGCAACCACAACAGCAGCAACAACAACAGCCTATGCATCATCAGCAACAGCAGCATCATATGCACCAGCAGCAGCAAGCAATCCAACCGCAACAACAACAGCAACTGCAACAGCAGCAGCTACAGCAGCAGCAGCTGCAGCAGCAGCTGCAGGCTAGCAATGATTTGTCCGTCTGCCCGGGGTGGACGGAATTTGTTGAAGACGGCAAGAGGGAAGGCCTTGACGTCAACAAACTCATGGCAGTAAGTAGCAACAGCAGCAACAGCAGCAGCAGCAGGAGCAGCAGCAGCAGCAGAAACAGCAGCAATACTCATAGCTATTACTGTACTACTTTTAGCAGTAACATTTGTGCAGTAAAAATGAATAGAAACTCCCCCATTAGGATTTATAATTTAGATTTTTTTTTAGGGTTTAGGGTTTAGGGTTTAGGGTTTAGGGTTTGTGTATTTTTTTTTTTTTTTTTTTATAGACTCCTGAGCAATTAAAAGATCCGCGAATTCGTCAACGATTTGTTCGTCTTCTTGATCGTCACGAAAAGGCCAAAGAGCTCTTCCGTCTAGCAGGCGCTAAGCTATAAACAGCAGCAGCAGCAGCAGCAGCAACAGCAGCAGGTGCTGCTGCTGCGGTTACTGTTGTTGGTGTTGCTGCTAGTAGGAGGGCAGCAGCACCGGCAACAGAAGCAGCTGCTGCTGCAGCTGCAGCAGCAGCCGCAGCAGCAGTGGGGGGTGTAGGTATAGAGCAAACTCAGCAACACGATAGCAGCGGCAACCTCAGCAGCACTAATTACTGTAGCAGCAGCAGCAGCAGCAGCAGCAGCAGCGGGTGTTGCTGTTGCTGCTGTTGACCTGAGGGGCCTCGAGGGAATGTGGTTTAGTAGTTTGCTGTGTCTTTAATGTTGTTGTTGCTGCTGCTGCAACTGCAGCAGCAGCAGCAGCAGCAGCAGCAGTTGCTGCTGTCTCCTTTTGTATAAAAAGGAGACAGACGCCTCCAACTCTGTAGCTTTTGCCATGAGGCAAACCGAATAATAATTGGCTCGCGCTAGCTTCTGCTGCTGCTGTTCTTGCTGTTGCTGCTGCTGCTGCTGCTGTTGCTGCTGCTGTTTCATCTCCTTCCGCTACTCCTATTGGTGCTTCTGCTGGTGCTGCTGCTGCGCTGCTGCTGTCGCTGCTGTTGCTTCTGCTGCTATCTTAGCAGTACCTACGTTGCAGTGTACGGACATCTGATTGCTATGAATAGCAGCGGAGGGTTGGAGACAGCAGCAGCAGCAACAGGAGCAGCAGCAACAGGAGCAGCAGCAACAGGAGACACAATAACAGCTAGCTGTTACTATATACCATAGATACCGTTGTTAACTAACAAACAAAAAGGAGACACTAAGAAAGGAGACACTAAGAAAGGAGACAATAAGGAAAGAGACAATAAAAAAAGGAGAGAGTAAAAAAGAGACACTAAAAAAAAGGAGACACATAAAAGGAGACAGCTGCAGCGTGCTGCGGTCTCCGTTTGCTGCTGCTGCTGCTGCTGCTGTTAAGAGACAGCAAAATAATAAACAAGAGATAAGCAGCAGGAAGAGGAGACAGTTGTCTCCTTATTAATAAATAGTAATTATTATAATTATTATTTATTTAATTAAATAAAAGAAAAAGGAGACACTTTTTGTCTCCTGGCTCTCTTGTGTGGTGTACCACCACCATGGTAGCCAACCGCTGCTGTTGCTGTTGCTGCTGCTGTTGCTGCTGCTCTTGCTGCTCTTGCTGCAGCATTTGCCGTGTCTTCTCCTTACCTTTTATGTTATTTTTGTCTCTTTATTAAGAATAAATAATAAAAAGGAGACAAAAAACGTCAATTAAGAGAGCAGCAGCAGCAGCAACAGCAGCAAACGCTCATCGTAGGTACACAGCAACGTATAGCAAGCAGCAAGAAGGGAGGCCCCTGCTGCTGTTGTTGCTGCTGCTCCTGCTCTTGCTGCTGTTGCTTCTTGTCTCTCTTTGTGTCTTCTTTTCTTTCGCCAATTTACCCAGAGGTTGGCTAGATAGGGTTTCCTTAGAGACGCATCTGCTGCTGCTGCAGTCTACATATAGCAGCAGCAGCAAAAGCTGCTGCAGCAGCTGCAGCAGCAGCAGCAGCAGTATTAACTGTAGAGATGTGCCTTCTTTTACCTTCTCTAGGGGTTAAATGTTTGCATGCATGCAGCAGCAGCTTTGGTTGTTTTTCTTCTTATAAGGGCTACCCAAGGTGCCCTCTTACCTCATCCACCGTAGAGCAGCAGCAGCAGCAACAACAGCAGCAGCAGCAGCAACAGTACAATGGGTAAAACCATAGACTCCGACAGTAAGCAGGCGCTGCTGCTGCAGCCTGCGGCCTCCATGTCTCCAGAACCCTCTCCACGCAGCAGCAGCAGCAGTAGCAGCAGTAGCAACAGCAGCAGCAACAGCAGCGGCAACAGCAGCAACAATAAGAAGAATAACAATAAGAATAACAACAGAAACAACAAAAACAATAACAGCAGCAGTAGCAGCAGCAGCAGCATAAATAACACCGGCACAACCAGCACGAGCAGCAATAACGGCAGCAGCATCAGCAGCATCATCAACAGCAGCAACAACAACAACAACAGCAGCAGCAACAAGAACAAGAACAAGAACAGCAGCAGCAGCAGCGAGTCTGCAACATTATTATCTGGTGTACGTGAGGGTTTATTAAACAGTGCAAGTATACGTGATTTAATGTCTCCTCCTCCTGCAGCAGCAGCAGGAGCAGCAGGAGCAGCAGGAGGAGGAGGCCACCACGCTCCCCCCCCGCACCTCCATCACCACCAATCCGAACAGCAGCAGCAACAACAACAACTGCAGCAACAACAACAACAACAGCAACAGCAGCAGCAGCAGCAGGAGCAGGAGCAGCAGCAGCATGAGGAGGAAGAATCATCATCAGCAGCAAGCTTATTACGTGGTTATATGTATGGACAATTAGCAAATGTAACAAAGGCAGCAGTATGGTGGGCCTCCTTTGGTGTATTAGCTGTATCGTTATGGGGGGGCCCCCTAGGTATAGGGGCCCTTAGGGTATTATTTAATATAGGATTAATATTAGTATCTCCTGCAGCAGCAGCAGCAGCAGATCGTATAAATGTAAGGAATTTGCTGCTAATAACAACATTAGGTCGTTGTATAGTATGGAGTATATTATTACCTGCAGCATGGATATGTATATATTTATTGCTGCAGCAACAACAAATATGTTGTCTCCTTTGCTCCCTTTGTCTACTTATTGATGGGGCACTAGTTGCTGTATCCAATATTGTTGATGCAGACTGTGGTGGTCTTGATGCTGTTAGCCAACAGGTAGGGGTGTCCCTTACTGACATAATAAGAGATAGATTTATTAATATACATAGAAAAGCATTTGATGTATCCTTTGTATTATTTACTGCACCTATTGCTTTCTTCCTTCTTCTCTTATGGGGAGGGAGCACGACCACCAGCAGCAACAGCAGCACCACCAGCAGCAGCAACAGCACCACCACCAGCAGCAACGGTCTTCTTGGTCATGTTGCAGCTGCAGGAGCTACAGCTGTAGGAGCTACAACAGCAGGAACTGCAGCAGCAGATATTAATTTGCTGCAACAATTCAAGTTCGAGGTACAATACTCCCCTAGGGAGCAGCTGCTGCATTTGCTGCAGTTTGTTCAGCAGCAACTGCAGCAAATACAGCAGCTGCTGCTGTCTCGTCCTCAATATGTCTCTCGTTTAGCTCTTATTTTGTCTCTTGCTTTTCTCTTCTTTGTCCTTTCTGCTGTCTCCCTCTTCTTTTATTCCTGCGGTATACGCAGCAACAGATCACAATCATCATCAGCAGCAGCAGAAGCAGCAGCAGCAGCAGCAGCAGCAGGAGTGGAGGATCATGAAGGGTCTCACCATCAGCAGCATCAGCAGCATCTAAATCGTCATCTGTATGGAGACAACAGCGGATTATTGAGTTCATGGGGTACAAATCCATCTGGTGGCACGTCTGCTGCTGCTGCAGCAGCAGCAGCGGCAGCAGCAGCAGCAGCAGCAGCAGCAGCGGGTTCTGAGGGTTTAGGAGATAGCCTGTTTAGTGAGGATTCTTTATCTGATGACAGCACAGGAGACAGTATAAATAATATAGGATTTAAGGAAGAAGTACGGCTACGATTAGGAGACATAAAAAGGGGACTGCTGCTGTCATTAGAAAGGAGACAGTTAGGTTATCATGTGCTGCTGCTAGCTGTAGATACAGCAGTAGAGGATGCTGTTGTCTCCGTGCTGCTACCGTTGCTTTGTCTATACACACCAAGTCTATTTGCTGCTGATGCAAGAGACGCATTAGCAGCTAATGCTTGGAGTGTCTCCCTAATAGCTGTCTCTAAATTAGGAGGTTTTATAGGGGGATTTATAATGCGGTCTATATGGAGACAGCCAGCAGCAGCAAAAAGAGACAGTAGCTATAGATGTCTCTTTTATTGTCTCCTTTTAGGCTCTATTGCCTTATGGCTAGCTCCCCTAGGTCTCCTGCTGCAGGAGACACAAGCTGCTTCTAAGCTGGTGTCATTGCTTCTCGTCTTTGCTGCTGCATTCTCCTTTTATGCATGCAGTGCAGCACCTAAAGCAGGAGCAGCAGCACTGCTGCAGTGTCTCCTCAGGTCGCAGCAGCAGCAAGCTTATTGTCTCTTTAGCTTTGTAGGTCTCTTTGTTACTCTTATTGATGCTGCTGTTATCTTCCTTGTGAACTGTCTCTTCTGTCTCCTCCTTTCTGCTAAGGGATCTGCTGCTGCACTCGCAGGTGTCTGTCTCCTCTTTACTGCTTATGGTCTCTTTACAGCAGCAATAGGCCCCCGTCTTATCCTAGACCCTCCCGATACACCTCAACAAACCCTAAACCCTCATGAACAGTTCGAGGTGTCTCTTCATCTACCTGCAGACACCCATCATCAATACTTGAGGGAGGGGGGGACACCCTTACAGGGCCCGATACAAGAGGGTAGTTGGGTCGGGGGGGCTCACCCTTCTACCTTGCATGCTGATGCAGGTGGGGCAACAGGCGGCGGGGCCCCTTTCCTTGGTGGGGGTCGCACAAGGGGAGAAGACAGCAGCAGCAGGAGCAGCAGAAGAGACAGATTGCTGCCGAGGCCTGTTAGCGCCCTTCTTTTTGGAGACAAAAATGTCTCCCCTCAGCAGCACAGCAGCAGTTAAGTGAACATGCAACACCTCCCTCCCCATTTTCCCCGCTGCAGTAGCAGAGGACAGCAGCAGCCTGCTGCCTGCTGCTGCATGAGGGGCCGGCGGCAGCCTGCTGTTGCAACAAGGGTAGCAGCAGCCTGCTGCCAACTGCTACAGCAGGTGTTTGCAGTAACGTGCTGCTGCTGCAGCAACCTGCTACAGCAGCAGATGTTAGCATTGTCTGCACTTTGTTTGTGAAGGGGACAGCTTGAGGATTTGATGCTCCACCTGGAGCAAGACCAGCAATATGCAGCTGTTGCTGCTGCTGTTGCAGCTGCTGCTGCCATATGCTGCCGCTGGGCCTGCAGCAATCTGCTGCTGCAGTAGGCAAAGATTTTGGGGGCATGTTTATGGTTGCGCCAACCTGAACACTCGCTCTCTGTATAGTCTAGGTTTTACGGCTTAAGGTTTAGCGTTTATAATAATACGCTTGTCCTGCGGGGGCTGTGTTGTCTGTCTCGTGGGGTTTTGTATCTGGCAGTGTACCTCAAGGGTTTGTCTAAACTCATCAAGTTGGACTTTGAGGGTTTAGGGGGTAGGGTTTGGGTGGAGGAGGGCCTTATTTGTTTTTTCCCTCCAATACAACTGCCGTCTTGTTAACAGAGTGTTGACATGGTTTAGATTAAGGGTGTCGGGTTTGGGGTTTAGGGTCTGGCGTTTAGGCATTAGGAGGTATTAAGTGTTAGGGTTTAGGTTTTGGAGTTTAGGGTTTAGGGTTTAGCGTTTAGGGAATGGGTTGGGGAGGTGGGGGTTAGGTCTGTGATGTTGAGTGTACCTGCGACCGCATGTACTGTCGCCTCGTGTATTTAATGTCAATGAGACTAACAAAATGACTTGGAGACAACAAGCAGAGAGAAAGGAGACACACGGGAGACATAGAGGAGATGGAAGAGATATATAGCGGAGAGAGAAACGAAGGAAAAAACAAGGGCGGCACAAAGTAGATGGAGGAGACACACACAGAGGAGACAGAGACGGGGCACAAAGGAGATACGTATGAGACACAAATGTGGCAGAAATAATCTACAATTAAGGTTAACTTGTTATGCGTCACAGCAGGAGGGAAAAGGAGGAGGAGAAAACATTCAGAATCCTCCTCATAGTCCTACAAATTCGAAAGCTGGGCGAAGTAGATGGGAGGCACTGCCTCGAAGAAAAGGAGTTAAAAAAGGGATGCAAGGAAGCGGTAACCCTCATGGCGCTCCCCTTTTATAGTGAACCTGTATGTTGCTACCTATGTGTCTGCTGCTCTCTGTGTGTTATTAGCGTACTAGTGTATTATGCAAAATAAGATGTGTGTACAGAGGACCTACTCCTCTTTCCCGTAAGGTTGGCAAACACCTCGCCGTTATAGATGTTAAAATGCCCCGTCATTAATTATTTGCAGGATGAAAACAGACTGTGAATTCTATCGACAATCAGTGAATTGAATCTCACAGGAAAAACATAAAAACGCATGCCGACAGACACACACAAACATTGAACATCACAGCTGCGCTATCGGTAAGCTGTACAAGGCGCAAAGAGACTGTCTGTCACAGCAGAACTATCGATACACTCTAAGCCAGAAACATTCAATTACATCCTTAATCATTGAAATAAATCAATACAGCGAACACACCAACACACACGCAAGCAAGAACAGACAGGCACTGAATACAAGAGCAAAACTATCGACATATTCTGAGTCACACAAACACTGAATTCTCTAGATTATCATTAAAGCCAATCTCACACCAAAACAATGTCGACAGGCAGGAACAGAGCAAGCGGCTAAAACAAATCTTGTATGCAAAAAATCATGATGTCTCTGTCGTAAGATAATATTCATCAGCCATACGCGCCAATGCCAATATGAGCTGAAGGCGGCTTTGTCGTGATGTGGACCGATTGCAATCCATCACCAACCGGCATTATCCCTAGCAAGCGAGAAGAGGAGGAGGAGAAAAAGCACCATATAACACATGCTGAATCTTTGTTGATCGTAGGAAAAGCGTACACAATCACAATACCTGGGTGTGCCAAAGTCGCCTGCAATGGATGTAGCGGATGTTGGAATCCCAACACCCACATTTCATTCAGTGAGAATGACGAGGGATTTGAAGACCTTAAGAATGCAAGGCCAATCCAACGTCATCCGTATACGAATAAGCATTCCGTTCGAATAATGCATTCCGTTAGAGGGGCGAGGGATTTGGAGAACTTAAGAATCTCGTAGGAGTGACGAGGGATTTGGCGAGCCCAATGACCAAAATGATGCAGCTAATCAAAGGACACAACAACAATGGACTTCATATATCAAGATCAGCACATGTGTAGTTGGCCCAGCAAGCGGAATATGCTGATGGAAGAACACATCGTACAACGCAGGCTGAATCTTAGTGGATCGTAGGACAAGCCTACTCTCACACTTACAATACCTGGTT